GGAAGCTTTACTTTACTCAAATATGCAAAGTGAATTACTGTTTACATTATTTGATTATGTTCTTCAGTAAATCGCGTGACTGTAAAGTAAAAGCCTAAACCTGCTGAAATATGCAGTTTTGCTCCGCGACGCGCTGGCCCTTGCGTCTGGCCTGACACGGCAGGATATTCAAAGAGTCAAGGATCGCCCTGCGTCCAGCGTACCTTACAGACTTACATACTCGGGCAATCGTAGGACCAAACGCCACTGTCAAATCAACTTAAGCCCGCTACAGGGCCTTGATTATTTTCAATATAGAATGTATTCATATAACGTTTATATACTAAGTTGGGTTCACTTAGTAGGGATGGGGATCGAATGGCAAAAGATCGATCTCGTTCCTATTAATCGAGTAAAAAAGATCGATCTCAGCCAGATCGATCTAGATCGAATATTTTTTGTCGAATTCGCCTAATAAGTAAGATCACATTTGTTAAAAATTGAACATTTCGTGCAATATAAAAAAATATATTCTTCTTGTTAGTTAAACTACTGGACACTAACACCACTAGAACTAGACAAAATGCCAGCGTGCCGCCGCGAAAATGTTACCGGAAGGGAAAGGGAATCAAAATTTCGGGGTTTTACTATAGGGGTGAATCGATCCGAAGATCGGACGTCTGCGAATCGATCCAGCCGATATCGCCTATCAGCGAGATCGATTCAAAAGATCGAAAATCGAACCTTAAAAGATCGATTCTAGCGAGATCGATTAAAAATCGCCCATCCCTATCACTAAGTTTCAGCGCTCTTAACACTCACCAGTCAAAGCGTTTTCGTTTCCTCTCTGATACGTTAGAGTTAAAAACGTAGCACCAGAGGTCAACACGACGATCAAACTCAAAAGATGAACAGCAGTCTATGGGACTGGCGTGCCACATGCAGTACACCATCCAGTCTTCACATTTCGGAAATGCCTGTGAAAAGCTCGCAGTGTCAGCTCACAACCATTGAACGACAGTTGAGCATCTCACAAGAAAAACAACAGCATACCTCAAGCATAATAGGCTCAAAATCTATGAAATCTAGAAGTGTCGATTTGTTGCCCAAATCTGCTACTGCTTTTTTGAGCAAGGCCCCCAGAAAGAACCATTTTGGATACATCAAACTGTTAAGTACCTGTGTCGCTGCTAATATTCCACTTTCATCGTCAGCAGAGAGCGGCTCAGTCAAATTCATGAGCCTGCAACAAAGAGGATCGAAATTGGGAAACTGAACAACATACAGTGAGTTCTCGATTTTGTTACGTGTTTAGACGCAGACCTGCAACAGATGCAGATCAGAAAGCGGTCGCTGAATTACCCCTGTCAAAAATCATCCGTGCAAAACCGCGCCTCCTCGGTGCTGACGCGTTCAAATCTGTACCTTTTACGTGCCTTTCCCGTGCGGACCCCGGGCGCTAAATCTGTGCGTTTCCCGTGCAGACCAGTGCAGACGCGGGCGCCACGCCGCGCACGGATCCCAAGCCGTTTGCCCCCGTGCCAAGCGGTTCGCATGCCGTACCTTGGCATTCACGGTAATAGGATCGCTTCGGATTTTGCTGTCAGCCCTCGTATTTCAAGGACGGTTGCGTGACTCCAAGGGCTTCCCTTGGAAGTTGCGGTAAAATACCAGACCTTGTCTTGGAAGAGTCTGTTTCCAAGGAGGAGCCATGGAGTTGCAGTAGCCAGAGCCGGGTGCGCCCGCCGATGGTGAAAATCCTGAATAGCCTATGACTTCTGGCAGGAATTCCTCTCGACAACAGAAATCGAAAGTGTTCTTTGCCCGCAAAGACGATCGGAATCGAATTGGCACATATATTTCTCACCAAATTAGAACTTTGGTCATAAAACATTTTCAATTTCTGTTGGCAAGAAGAAAATCCTGCGAAAAGTCGTATCTACGATTTTTACCATTGGCGGGCGCCCCCGGCTCTGGGTACTAAAACTGGCTCATCCTCTGAAACAGACTGTTCCAAGGCAAGTGCTGGTATTCGACCTCGAAATCTACGGGAAACGTACTGGAAGCGCACAGATTGAGCGCCCGGGACGCACGGGAAAGGCATTTGAAAGGCACAGATTTGCACGCGTCTGCACCGAGAAGGCGCAGTTTTGCACGGATATTTTGTGACAGGGGTAAGACGGATCTGCGTTTTGCCGATCTCGGCATACTTGACTTTTGGAGGCCTCTCACTCTCAAACGATATCGCATTGTGTTGGGTGTTGTCTCTTTTTAGCCCGCCCTTCTGCTGTTGAACTAGCTATATGTGCGCCAGACCACGTCTCGCGTAACAGGCTTCGCGAAATCTCACGACACACTGTTATGCTGCGACGCGCCTGGCTCACATATAGCGGGGCCTGCGGCGCTGCCTTAAGAGACAAGTTAACAGGAGTGTATACGGAAATAGGGCCTTTCGGTCCCCAAATTTGCCATGCTCACAGCATTCGAGGGGGGACTAGGCGTGCCATTCGTGTGGACTTCCGCCCCTGGGACACTTGGCTGCCAGGTGGCTAAGTCTGCGATTTTTGTACTATAGTCACATAGTGAGTGTATACGTTAGAGAGTCATGAAGTCTGAGCACCCTGTGCAAGTTATTGAGCTATACAGCTAAACTGTGCATTACCTAGGGCAGCTTATGTCCAATAGGGTATAGGGTACCCCGCTCCGGGCGCACGGCAGCTAAAGAAGGAGAAAAACACAAAAGCAGGAAGTGGGGGAGCGCGTAGCGGCGGCGGGCCTCGCTTATGTGCTTCTTGTCTTCGTCTGTAGCTGCCGCGCGCCCGGAGCGGGGTACCCTATAGCAGAGACAGCTGATTCAATGCTGCTAACTTGTTTAACTGTATCGCTACCATTTTAGCTATCCATGAAATTAGGCGTGCAGCTTAGTTTTCGCTGCACAGCTTTTTTTTCCGCGTGCACGTGTCGTGTATGCACCCTCTGTCAGTAGAGGGAGCCGGTGGCGCGCTCTGTACCCTAGTTACAGTGACTGAAAGTGGCATACACGTGCACGGTAACACCGTAAATCCTTCCGTTCTAGACCTTTTTTTACGGAGTAGAGAAAGAAACGCTTATGCCGGATCAGGCGTAGTATTCGATTCCAGAAAAATTGTTCGACACCCCAGTTCCAGCGATCAGTGTCCGGACTACAGCCGTAAACGTAAGTTATTCAGGCGTCTTTGAAGTGTCTTTGTAGGCATATGTTGGAATTCTATCTTTTGAAATGAAATACTCGGAAGAAAGTATGTCAGAGTGCCACACAGGATTAATAGCGTAATAGAGTCAGCAATCCCACGTAACTTTAACGGTTTATGATACGGTGCCCTGTGCACGCCGTGGATCCAATTAAGCATTTTGATAGTGTTCTTTTCTAGAATTTCTAGAAGACCCGAAACGATGCAGCTGGTCTCAAATAATGTAAGTGGTTCTTTTGATTTGCTAGTCGGTTCTCGTGTTTAGCCTTGTTTTAATACATAAGGTACGGGTTGTAATAATATACCATGAAAGTACCTACTTTATCATTCCTCTTCGAACAACATGCAACGCGAACATGTTTTCCGGACAGAGGTACACGGCCGGGAATGGTCTTTCATGGACTGGCACCCTCGTAGACAGAATGCGAACCTCCGTTGCCCCTGCAGAATACTGGGTCCACAAAACGCCCATGAAACTCGTCGTGGCGATTGCTGACAGTAGTACCGCCAGCGCCCAAACGCATCTAGAATGCAAAACCCGAAAAGCAATAAATATAAGAACAGAAGTAGCTCTGCTTTGATGTGCGACAAAAGGGACAATTATACAACTGGATTTCCGGTTTCATTTGTAATGAATTGTGTAACTTTCATAGATGTAAACTCTGACGACAAGCTAGCGCCGGTCGAGTAGGATGAGGTTCTAGGTTTTATATTCTAATGCGCGCCAGGAATAAGTCCAAACAAAGAATCACTCCGGTTTAAGCGTATTCATTTTTATCCAAATGAGAGTGAGCATCCCTAACCTAAACATAACCTATCATACACCTATTCACACACTTTCACACTGGTCATCTGTCCATCTGTCCATCTGTCCATGAAAGGAACATTATAAATGGCGGGTAGAGTGAGCCTGGAGAGGGCCGCAAGCTACGAACCCTCACGCCTTAACCCTCTACTGCCCGCCGAAGGAAAAGAGCAAGCCTAGCGGACTTGAACTGCACTGACACTGACAGGAACAGGCAGCCTCCAGTCACTCATTCACACACTTACACTACCATAAGGGGTCAGTATTCCGCAGAACCCAAATAAACAAATGGCGTTAAGGTGGTGGCCGCAGGCCAAGAGGCCCGGTAAAGAGAAGGCCCATTGTGCGAGCTTAAGTCGCCCATCTCCTTTGGGTCGAGTACTACTGCCGGTACTACGGCCACTCCACGTCCACCTCCAGGACTACGACAAACAGTCACTGTAAAGAACCACGGCAGACGAATCACTGTCAGACGCATAGACCTTCTGAGCCGCTCGGAGCACATGAGCTTGCAGGCTGGGTTACAATTCCAGATCTATCTTAAAATCGGACACAATTCAAAAAACGAAAAACACTTGTAGCTAGATTTTGTTACGCTGCATCCGAAAATGTAATCAATTTTGTCATTTGACCATGTATTTCGGCGTATATTCGATTCTAAGTGACTATGCCTGGCGCGCAAGCCGTTGCGCCGGGCTTAGTCACTTATAATCGAACATACGCCGAAATAAGTGGTCAAATGACAACAGTGGTTACATTTTCGGATTCAGCGTAACGAAATCTAGCTGCAAGTGTTTTTCGTTTTTTTTAGCCCGCCCTTCTGCTTTGCAGAAGCTTTCCAGCGGGCTTATGCAAACGACCTCGTGTCTGTCTGTCTGTCTGTCTGTCTGTCTGTCTGTCTGTTCCACTAGAAGGAGATGTGCTAGAGACTTCAAATTTTCAGGGTATCTTAAGGTTCACTTCTAGAAAACGAAACGCCTACTTCAAATCCTGGCAACCAACCCTAAGGGGCTGAAAGGGGGTATCAAAGAAAAGGGGGTAGGTCAAAAAAGTCAGAAAAAAATGTATTTTTTATGAGCTCCTAAGGGGTAACTCGTCAAAGTAGATCACTTGCTTGGAACGAAAATTTCGTCCGTTTGGCTCTATCTCTCACCGTTTAGGCGCTAGAGGGAGTTTCTATCACGAAAGTGGCCCAAAAATAAACAT